TTTTTTTTTTATTCTTAAAATCTTGATTTTTGTCAATTAGTTAAACAATTAGTGATGCTTTCTGGTGTTCTACCAATTTATAAAAATTAGTAGTTATTTTCTTACCAATTAGTATTTAATTATCACTTGTGGTTTATTTTAGTGTGAAATGCCAAAGGAGAGAATCTTTAAACGAAAATATTTCGTAGAAAATGTTGATGAGGAGATATCGAATAAAATGAATTTTGATATTGCACAACTTACTATAGATCCTAAAATAAGGAAGAAGATGATAATCTTATTAGTGTTGTTATTATATCATTTTTAGCATTGCCGTAATATCGTTAAATTCATAATCGAAAAGTTCGACCTTAATTAAATTTTGTTCGCACTGGACAAAACTTCTGGGTCCGCCGCTAAACCCAACAATGCCCAAAGCATATGGCAAAGGCATTTCTAAATTTTCAATCTATAATACGCATGTTATAGTGAACTAATTTCTGCATGTTGATATTTAGTGACCTAATTATAGTTTTTATGGAAATTGGGTGACCGTCTATGAAATTTAGAATTGGACATGGTCTGGCTAGGTTCGATTTTCTTTAGAAGTGAACCGAATCGAAAATTTCGGGTATTTAGTAAGTAGAATTGTCGGTCCAAATATAATTATGGAACTGTTCAGGTTCGATTCGATTCAGTTCCATACTATAATTATATTTTTAAACATTTACAACAACACTACATAAATGCAACTAATAACATATTCAATCATAACTTTTACAAATTAACGAAATCCAATTAAAAAACATATAAATAACAAGTTATCCAATAATATTACTTTACCAATATATACAAATATCAAAAAGTAGATACTAATACTAAAATTTTGACGATCCATATCAATAATTCATTTGCTTCAACCTTCAAGCCTTCGAGTCTACATAATTTTTTTTTTATTGAATTAGAAGTCATGAAGATAAAATATTTTTAAGTATTACTAATACTCACCAGCTATTTGATTTAATCATTAATTGCTTGACTTATCATATGAAGAAACTCTCAAAAAAATTTGAAAAAGCACAATTAACAAACATAAATAAACAAAAAACTGGTCAGCTAATAAGATTTATTAAGAAAAATAAAACATATATTTTATTACCTCTCTCATAAAACTCTATTTTTTCAATGCAAACATTATTTTGGAAAACTTTCAAAAGTCTAGATTTTTCAATTAGCTAGTTTTGTGTATAAATCAAGGCCTCATCTGTTTTAGGAGTTAAAATACTCCTAAATGGATCAAGAATGCGCCTTTCAATATCAAATGCTGACTCAATAAATTAATCGGCTAATTACTTAATTTGTTAATTTGTTTAGAATAAATTAAAATAATTTGATTTATTCTATATGTATATAAAATGAAAAAATATGGGAAGATTTGATTCTTCGTCTAGAATCGAGAATCGAGCCCCATTTAAATTTTTGTTTCCCGTATTTAAGTTGAGAAGAACAGTCGAATTCCATTAGTTTCGATTGGAGAGTATCTAACTTCTAATAAAAATGGGAAGGAGAATTTACTATTCATGCAATAGTAAATAAATTCAATTTTACTATGCATGATGTCTTTTTTTATTTTGTTTATGTCAAACAAATGTTCTTCCACACATCATGTCACTAGCAATAAAAAAATAATAATAATTTTAGTAAATAAAACTGCAAAAAAAAAAAAACACTCTTCGCACATGAGCTTTAAAAAAAAGCTCCGTACAGTGACTGTCACGTGAGTTGCACAAATTTTGTATTTATTGTATTTTTATTAGTATATGAATTTTAGTTTTTTGAAAAGTTTTTGAAACAATATTTATAAATATTTCCATGATATAAGAAAATAATTGTAAATTATTTTTACAATTGTGTAACAGTATTTTGTCATCTAAAAAAAATATACTTGTATATTTCATACTTGAATAAGAAATATACGAGATTATACAAATTATTTTGTTTGTATTTTTTGATAGTGTTGATATGATTGAATTGAATGTGAAAATTATATTTCTAAATTGTGTAATACAATATTGAAAAATTGAAGATTGAGCATCATATTCATATGCATTTATATTTTGTGCTTCATATATATTTAATATTTATTTTATGCTCATATTGAAAAAATAAAATTTGACTTTTTTTTTGAAATTCGATTTTGTAAGTGAATGTGCGTTGTTCTGTATTCTCGGTATTTGTAAGTGCAAAAATCGATATATAAAAATACAGTAAGTTGCAAATACGGTAGACAATATATACGGTAAGTTACAAATACGACAGAGAACATATACGGTAAGCTGCAAATACGGTAGACTGCAAATATAGTAAGTTGCAAATATGGTAGATATCATATACGGTAAAGTGTAAATACAGTAAGTTGTTTGCAAAGACGGTAAGCTGCAAATACGGTAAACTACATATATTAAGGGTGGGAGCAGGTCGGTTCGGTTCGATTCTCTTTAGAACTGAATCGAACCGAACCAAAAATTTCGGGTATTTATTAAATGGAACCGTCGGGTCCAAATATAATTATGGAACCGTTCGGGTTCGGTTCCGTTCGATTCTGTACTATAATTAAATTTTTTAACATTTATAATAACATTATATAAATACAATTAATGATACATTCAATGGTTTTGGAATGCCATAGACTAGTAGACTACCTTGTTCAAATGATCGTTACGGTCAAAGCTTCGGTTGGCGGATGTTGCAGCTTCGATCGAAAGTCACAGCATCGGCCGACGATTGTGTAGGTTTTGAAATGTCAGCGAGGTTGCGAGAGTCAAGACAACGTTATGCACTTTAATATAGGTGTTTCGAGTTATTTAGTGGATTGAATCTTGTTAGGCTAAGAAATGAAACAATAAAATGGGTAATGGGGCCAAAAATTAAAAAATTAGAAATGAAACAAATTATCGGGCCAAAAATTTGGATTTAAAAATTGTTAATTTGTTTAAAAAAAATTAAAATTAAAATAATTTGATTTACTCAATATAAAAAAAATTAGAAAAATTCGGTTCTTCGGTTCTTGGTCTAGAATCGAGAACTGAACCGTACCCGTTGGTTCTCAATTCAGATACCCGTTCGGGTATTTAATTTGACAAGAACCGTCGGGTTCGGTTCAATTCGGTTCGGTTCGGGAGATTTGCCCATCCCTAGCATATATGGATTTATAATTTGTCATAAATATATAAAATTTATTTAATATTGAATTTCTTAAATATTAAATGTTGTAATTCAATATTATTTCCTTTTTTATAATTGTATTTTCGAGAATTTAAAAAAAAAAAAAGGGGTTATGAAATTGCTAATTTTTAAATGTGTTTTTTTATTGAAGATAAAAATGATTTTTTTATGTTATTTTTTTAAAAAAAATTATTGTAATTTTATTGGCGTAATAAGAATATTTATTATCCATTTTTATTTTTTTGCATTTTCTGAAAAATTTTGTTTATACTGATTGACAAATGTTCTTTTGCACACGCATCATGCCAACAACATTAAAAAAAAATTATCAAGCAAGTGTAAAATATTGAATTTGGGTGGTATCTTGGAGCCTCCATTTGTGAAAGCAATGCCATTGTACTATCAAAGGTTGTTTGGTAGGAATTTTTATGTGAAAATGAATTTTTGAATAGTAAATTGATGGGAAATGTGTGGTTGAAAAATAAGAAAAAGTTTTTGATTTACGTGTACTATTATTTTAATAAAGAATGTGTGATTGAAAAAAAGAGAGAGAAAAATGCATTTCGATAAAAATGGGTGCCAAACAGGGCCTCAATATCCCCTTTTTTGCACAACTCACATATTGTTGCATTGTATGAATCATGAGAAAGCTCATTTCCAATACCGTAAATATGATTTGCATGCTCAGAAATTGAGCTGTGACTGAATTTTAAAAAAGACATAATTGATTTTGAGCCATGTTTTTCGACTCTATTTCGTTGTATATACAAAAAAATTACAATCTTGAAATTTGACTTGTAATTAAGGAATTTGAAAACAACTCTCCGTACTATGCGAAAAGTTTCTTTTCTTTCTGTACTGTGCAGAGAGCTGATTTCTCATCTCTCTGCACTATACGGAGAAATTTTTTTTTACTCTGCACTGTGTGAAGAGTTTGCCAACTCTCCACACATGGTTCGACTCTCTCCGAACTTTTTTTACTTCGTACATAGTTCAACTCTCTACACATTGTGCGAAGAGTTTTTTTTCTCTCCGCACTGTGCAGAGAGTTTTGACATGGTGCGGACCAACTCACAGTGCGGAGAGTTTTTTTTTGCTCTACATATTGTGCGGAGAATTGGTTTGTCATCTCTCCGCACTGTACGAACAATTTGTCAACTCTCCGCATATGGTTTAACTCTCTTCGTACTGTGTGGAGAGTTTTTTCTCTCAGCACTTTTTTTATTTTTTATTTTTACTCCACACTTGGTTCATTTTTCTCCGCACCGTGCGAAGAGTTTTTTTTTCAATTTTACAATATTGAATTACACAAAATTTAGATATATAATCTTCACATTCAATTCAATCATATCAACACTATTAAAGAATACAAGCAAAATAATTTGTATATTTCTTATTTAAGTATGAAATATACAAATATATTTTTTCTAGATAATATATTGCTATATAATTGTAAAAATAATTTATAATTATTTTCTTATATTATGAAAATATTATAATATTGAATTACACAAAATTTAGATATATAATCTTCACATTCAATTCAATCATATCAACACTATTAAAGAATACAAGCAAAATAATTTGTATATTTCTTATTTAAGTATGAAATATACAAATATATTTTTTCTAGATAATATATTGCTATATAATTGTAAAAATAATTTATAATTATTTTCTTATATTATGAAAATATTTTTAGATATTACTTTAAAAATTTAAAAAAAAAAATTAAAATTGATTAATTAATAAAAATACGATAAATAGAAAATTCGTCCAAGTCCATCTAACTAGTAGTGAAATTAACCCCCGTTTCTCCAAATTAATGGTGCCATTATAGCTGTAAATCAACCATCCACCTAAACACTCCGTCCAGTCCACTGTAAGAATTGGGAAGAGCGAGACTGGTTTGCGTTCTAAAATTGTCGGATTTTTCGCGACTGCCAGGGAACGTCATGAAGTAATCAAACTCGTAGAATCCGTATTTATTTTATTTTGTAATTATACTATATTTGGATTAAAGCATTTTTTTGAATTGTTCATTAGGGATTTAAAATAGAGGATAGTCTCTGAGAGTTGTGCATATCAATGATGAATGAAGTTCCGACACTAATTCATTTATGCGTAGCCGCCATCAGGGATGAACTTCTCCATGGTAATTCATCGAGTTATTATAAACTCTGTTGTTATTTATTATAGTAAAATAAAACGTGTGGTGCTGCCTGATATATGGGGTTTATTTTCGCTTTCTTGTTTTTACAGGGTATAGCCATGATGATATATTACCAGTTATATATGAACTTCCGCCAGAGTTGTTTGATGTTTTGTTGCCGGAATTGCCTCCGCTGGTTTTGCAGAAATTACACGAGAACTTGTGAGTTCAATATTTATGCATGAGTTAATGAAAATTGTTGGCTACTTGTTAATGTTGCCTGGTTTATCATACTCAACCGAGGAAATATCGTTTATGACGCTGCCTTTGATTTGCAAGCATATTTTTGTTGAATAAACAATCGAATTTTGAGTGGAAAGTGTTGATTTAGATATGGAAACATATGTTGATGCCATAATGTTTAGAGCTGTCCTTGAATTTTATTTTCCTTCCTGATTTTTGGATTAGTGGTGTCAGTCCGCACGTTGGATTAAATATAAGAAACTCGGCAGGATTAATTATTTTCTTGTTAAAACAGAAAGCCTTTATAATTTTCATTCAGAAGCAATTTTGCCAGCATTTCCATGGTTTTCCTTCCACTTAAAGTGCAAGGATAAAATATGCATACTATTCAGTTTATCACCACATGCATCTATTTGTATAACTGTGCTAGGTAGGTATGTGGTGCACACAAAATGGATCACAGCAAGCCATTCATGTATGTAACCCACAGTAGCACCTATGTGTTCACTCACTAGATTAGTATGATCGCCTTATTTTGTTGATTCGTGTCCTTTTCATAAATTTCCTAGTCTTTTAATGTTTAGTGATCATCTTGTGGTTAGAGTTGATATTTTTCTCCTCATGAGTTGTTTCTCTATTTGCATGCCTTGACTTGTATGTAGTAATCCTCATTTTTGGGTAATGCCTAACAAAAAAAAAAAGGATGAACTGTCAATGCTTGCAAAGCCCCTGGAATTTCAAGCGGTGTCAGTCCTGGCATCAAGATTGAGGTACTCGTGAAGGTCATGTAATTCAGAGAAATGCAATTAATTTTCAAGGCATTTAACGACTAGAAAACTTGTTAAATTAGAGTGATAAGCTTAAAGGTGCTTAAAAGCACCTGTTTTTGGCACATGCTCGNGGCATTTAACGACTAGAAAACTTGTTAAATTAGAGTGATAAGCTTAAAGGTGCTTAAAAGCACCTGTTTTTGGCACATGCTCGTATGAATGATTAGGATAAGCTCATTGTTTTTCTATCCAAATCATCTTAACTTTACTCAACCGATGTCAACTTGGTGAAATTGTTTGCTAAGATAATGCACAACCTGTGATTTATCTCAATGCAGGCCCATTGGATTCAGGGATGACTACGAACTTGCTAATGGTTACTCTGAACACCATAAAAAACGTAGAAGGTTGAGAAGAAAGAAGTTTTTATTTATTTTTAATCTCAAAAAGTATTCTTTACATATTTTAGAAAATGTTACTTGAGTCAATTCTTTGTGTGTGACTACTTTTCTACAGATTTGGGATCGTAGATTCGGCATGGAGGGCACTTTACAAGTTGCGCTGGCCTGGTCTTGGGCAGAAGAATCAGGTTATGGTTTGTCTGGATAAACATGAAGAAGAAAAGTACAGTTCAGTTGTTGATTGGCAGCAAATATATTGGGAGGCCCATTTGCAAAAGTATGCTTACCTGATTCAAGTTCTATAGTACTATTACCTTGTCATTGTCTAATTTTATTACATGAAGCTTTACTATGCTTTTCAAGCCAGTTGCGTGGATGCCATAACAGAGACAGCATTTCTTCCATCTTATGGCGGTTGTATTGGTGAAATACAAATTCCAGGTTAGATATACCTTGATTTTGTCAGTCATGTGTGTCTCTCAACCCCAAGTGACCACCTTTAGGTGGAAAACTGGAAGAAGTTGTATGTTGGTTTATTTGATCTTTAAACGAAAAAATTGATGTGGAAATTACATAGAAACCTACTTTTAAAGATCCCATTTCATAAATCATATGTTGGGTTTACTATTTCAAAAATAAGATATTTTGTTAATTAATTAATATATATAAAAATTAATTAATCTACCCTATTTCACTCCAAACCTTAATTCATTTTCTCTCATCCTACTCCATTCACTCTTTCC